AAATAAGATTTTTTAAAATTAATTTTTATAAAACATTAAAGTACATTTTAAAGGTAATAGCATCACAGAGTTTGGGGAAATTTTATTGAGGCTAACCATTTTTCTAACTTTAAAATTATTTTTATGTTCTTGTTTGTTTTTTCCTTCTACAAGTTCACTATTCTTGGTATCTTTTGTTTTTCAGTTTTAACATCACAGTTTTTATGACTTTTTTAAAATAGATTTTTGCTATATGGCATGCGTGCTCACCAGAGAGACAGAGACAGAAATCCTCCAGGGGGGATGGCCACACTGTAATCCCTTCTCCTCCTTTCAGGGTCATGGGTGTGCGTGTCCACATGCCCAGTGTAAGTTTTATGCCTCTGGATCTGGGACTCAAATGCAGTTGACTCTGTGGGAATCCAGCAACATAACCATTAAGCCACCTGCTGGTCCCCAACATCACTCTTTTAATGTCATGAAATACAAGTACAAAGTACTGTATAAGTATGCTTCTTACTACATGGAGATGAAATCATACATTTCTGTTTTACCTCCCTAGATTCTTTATTTTTATTATTATTATTTTTTAAACATTCAATCACTATACATCATTTGGCTTGTACAGAGAATTTACCCAATATGAAGTACTTAGACCAGTCCAGTTGAAAATACTATACATGTTACCATTAGCAAGTGATAAACCATTTCCCATAAATGTCATGCCTCTCTATTTTTTCTCTCTGATTTCCTTCCCTATACTCTTTCCGTCCCTGCTCCACACTGTCTTCAGTGTCTATAACTATTTTCACTGCTTTTATGCCCTTCAATATTTCAATCTCTATGATAGTTTGGATAGTCAGTATATATTAAGTGAAGGCATATAATATCTTTCTTTCATAGCCTGGCTTGATTCACTCAGCAGTAAGTCTGCCATATTTCAATCACTTTCTATCAGATGCCAGGGTCTTATTGTTTTTTAATGGCCGTATAGTATTCCATAGAGTATATATGTCAGCCCTTCTCAATCCATTCATCTATTCGTGGACATTTATGTTGGTTCCATGTCTTGGCAATTGTGAATAATGCTGCAATAAACATGGATGTGCAAGCACTTTTCCAACTGAGCATTCTCCTGTCTTTTGAGTAGATACCCAGAAATGGGATTGCTGGATCAAAGGGTATCTATTTGTAGATCTTTGAGGAACCCCCATATTGTTTTCTACAGTGGCTGGATCAATTTACATTCCCACCAACAGTATAGGAGAGTTCCCCTTTCACCACAATTCTGCCAACACTTGCCATTTTTTTTTTCTTTTTTTTTTTTTTTTGTATTTTTAGTCATCACCATTCTGACAGGGGTTAGGTAGTATCTCATTGTGGTTTTAATCTGCATCTCCCTTATGAGGGATGTTGAGCATTTCCTCATATGCTTTTTGGCCATTCTTATGTCTTCCTTAGATTTTGTTCAGTTCATTTTCCCATCTTTTAGTTGGGTTAATCATTTTTTTTTCAGGTAAGCTGCTTGAATTCTCTAAGTATTCTGGTTATTAATCTCTTATCTGAGGCATAGTTTACAAAACTGTTCTTCCATTCCAAGGGTTGTCAATTCACATTAATTATTGTGTCCTTTGCTTTTGCTTTGCAGAAAAATTCTTAATCTGTTATAATCTTACTAGTCTATCTTAGAGATTATTGCTTGTGCTTTGAGAGTCTTATTTAAGAAGTCTTTGCCTACCCCAATGTTTCCCAGAGTTTCCCCAGTGTTTTCCACCCAGTAGTTTTATAATTTGAGGTCTTAGGTTCAGATCTTTAATCCATTTTGAGTTGATTTTTGTTAATGGTGAAAGATGGGGATCCAGTTTCATCTTTCTACATGTGGATACCCAGTTTTTCCAGCACCATTTGCTAAAGAAGTTTCCCTTTTCCCACTGGATTGACTGATATCCTTTGCCAAAAATCAGTTGGCTATATATTTTGGGGTTTATTTCTGGGGTCTCTATTCTATTACATTGGTCCCCTATCTGTGTGTGTGTGTGTGTGTGTGTGTGTGTTTTGGAGAGGTTTTTGCTGTAGGGTGCATGCGCTCGTCAGATAGACAGAGAGACAGAAAGCGAGAAATCACCCCCCGGGGGGATGGCCACGCCGCAATCCCTTCTCCTCCATTCTCCTCTTGGGATCTCGGCACTCATGCACACGCACACTGCGTGAGTTTTAAGCCACCAGGTCCGGGATGCGAACCGCAGTCGACTACATGGGAGTCCAGCAACATAGCCATTATGCTAACTACTGGTCCTGCACCTATCTGTTTTTATGCCAATATCATGCTGTTTTGGTTTTAACAGCTTTATACTATGTGTATATTTGTGTTTTTACTAGAATCTGTATTGACCAAGTAAGCCATTGTACCACAATGATGATCCATAGGGATTTTTTTTTAATACCTATTTTTTTTTTCATGAATAAAAAGGCTCACAACTCATTTCAACCATTGCAGACTTACACTGATCTTAAAATATTCCTGGTCAAAGGAATATTTTTAATTGCAACGTTATGCTTTGTTCTTGGCAGGTGGCTTGGTGAGTAAGGTGCTGGACTCCCACATGGCCTATCACTGTTTGAGTCATGGACCTAGTGGCTTGGTTTCTCTTCTTCTCTCTCTGTGTATGTCTCTCTCTGGTCAAATTAAAAAATAAATGAATGAATAAGTAAAATTAAATAATTCTTTTGAATACACACACACACACACAAACACACACACACACGTATATATTTACATATATTCCTGGTCAAGGTATTTGGAGAACCACTGAGAAATACAAAATCACTTTAGCCAAAAGTAGTAAAGGGATAATATTATTTTACATTGGCCAGATTGCCGTTATGTTGGCATTGCAAAGACACTGTGCACTTAGTTGGGGTTAGGAAAAATGTTGTTTCAATAGCCCTCTTACTGTGCAGGAAGACAAATTACTGTTTCCTGCAAATTCCAAAATAGTCATTGGATAAGCAGTAATTCACAAAACTCCATTTATAGATCATATAGTACCCCAAGTGCTAAAGAAAAAGTAAGTTTACAAATATTCACACTGTCTTTCCTACCTCTCAAATGGTGCAATCTCAAGTAACATCAGCTAATAAAAAAGTAAACCAGGCTAATGGCCAAAGCATGCCTAATAGTTTTTGGTCATTTTGACTGAGAGTCTTCTTATGACAGACAAAAGAAGTGATGAAAGCTGCATTAACTTTGTTTGGCTGTATGAGCAAGAAATACTAATTAAAAGAATACCAAAACATTTTGCTTTTATAAATAAATGAAAGGATGCTTATCTTTTTTTTTTTTTTTTAAGGTTTTAAGCATTATTCTTGCTGTTTAAAAAAATCATTCAAAGTGTGTCAGTCTTTAAGAATAAATGGTGGTGGGGGGGGACAGCACTTAGCATAATGGCTATGTTGCTGGATTCCCATGTAGCAGACTGTGGTTCAAGTCCCAGACCTGGTGGCTTAAGCTCACGCCAGCGCGTGTGCATGCGTGCCCGCCCAAGATTCCGAGAGGTGAAAGGAGGAGAAAGGATTGTGGCATGGCCATCACCCCCCGGGGGTTGATTTCTTGCTTTCTGTCTTTCTGGCGAGCACACGTGCCCTATAGCAAAAACCTCTCCAAAAAGAAAAAAAAGAAAAAATAAATAAAAGAAAATTGGCCTTGGGAAATATTGTAGTACATACGAATGCATTATTAAATTTTTTAAATATCCAGGGTATTCTATCGCCTACTGACTCTAACTTCCTTCTAAAGTAAAATGATTATTCTACTATAAGACTTGGGTAAAGTAAGATTTTTTTCCTCATCAACTCTTTTTCATCTATATTTCATTTAAATCTTTTTTATTTTTAGATTTGAACCTCCAAGACTGCTTATGTCTTGCTTGGGAGTTTTTCTGCTATTTATTCAGAGCTATACTGACTGTAGGGTGTGGCATGTGATGGGAACCCAGGACCACACAGAAGTAAAAGCAACCTAATTTAGTGGATCATCTGAGAATTCATTGGAAAAAGAAAGAATCAGTGTGCCACTGGAGAGAGATACCCTCCAGCAAACCATGGATGGAGTGAGTGAGTGACTCACAATCAGATGACAGGCGGGTAGGCCAAGAAAACTATTCTAGTCATAACCTGTCTCTCATACAGACTCTGAGCCTGAACCTTAAAAAGAGAAACAAAAGTTCTCTTTTCCAGAGTGCCTGTGGTTTGCGATTGTATGTATAGTGCGTGGTGCGTACACTCAACACTTTGCCAGTGCTCATGGCACCTTGCAAGTTAAGTCATACAGTCCCCATTTGACTGATAAGGAAATTGAGGCGTACGGCAATCAGTAATTTGCTAAAATCACAGAGCTAATAAGCTAGGATTAAACTGAAGCTGTGTTGACCTCAGCATTTACTCTGTGGTACTGTAATACCAGTGTAGTCATGATTGTGAGTAGCTTCACAGGTCTGTTTTTTCTTAACTTCAGGGACTCTATTCTGAAAAGAGTTGTTATTGCTAGTACTAGATAGGAAATTTTCAGCATTTTAATACCATTTACATCTTTTCTATTTTTTTTTTTTTTTTTTTAAAGACAGGGGCTTCTTGTGTTGTCTAGGCCAGCCTCAACCTCTCAAGTAGCTGTGATGTGTGGTGGCAGGCACCACTGTGGCTAAGCATTTAGGGTGGGCTGGGAATTGAACCTGGGCCTCCCATGCAGCCTCTGCCTGCCAAGTAGGAGCATCAACTAGCCAATCCTAGTCTTTGGAGTCACTTTCTTCCATCTTCTCAGCTCTATGAGTTACTAGCTAATTGATCCTGGTGCTTTACTGTTTGAGCTTCATTGTCCTCATCAGTGAGCTAGAGGCAGTAATAACATTTACCTCAGGGAGTTTCTCTGAGGATAAAATTAGCATTTTATGTTGTGTCTGAATGTGATTTCTACAAGTCGATATTAGAGATACAGATGTTATAATAAAGTGTTTCTTCCATTGCAGGTCTAATAGAATTTTCTGTGGGGAAGTTTAGATACTTCAAGCTCAACAGACCCTTTCCAGAGGAAGCTATTTTACGTCATATTTCCAGCAATGTGACTTTTCTTATTTTCCAAATACACTCCCAGTATCAGAATACGACAGTTTCTTTTTCTAGGGTAAGTAACAAAGAATTATTTCAGTAAAAATCTTGTTTATGTTTTTGGGTCTCATATGTAGGGATAAGCATTAGAATTGGTATATCTGTATGTTTATGACTTTTTCTTAAATTACAAAAAAATCAAGATTGAGTCTTGTCAACTTAGTTATTAAAACTGGCCAAAACGTGAGCATCCGAGGCTCTGCGGCCTTTCTTGAGTGTGGTGGCCTCAGACTTAGAGAAGGAGTGATAGAGAGCGGAGTAGAGGGGGCAGCATCTTGTGACAATTATCCCCTCTTCACAGTTAAGTTTTCCTTATGATTTTCTACCTTTTCATTTTCTTACTTTAGTGGGTTCTTAATTTTTTTTAATCGCCAGAGGGTAGGTACACTTGCTAGAAAGAGAGAGAGAAAGAAAGCACCCCCCAGTGGGTGTGGTCACACCACAATCCTTTTTCCTCTTTTCCATCAGGATTTTTGACATACATGCACACATGCCCAGTGGTATTTTTTAAGCCATCAGGGCCAACATTGAAACCATAGTCAGCCATGTGGGATCTGGCTTCTTCACTGTGTTATAGGCTGACCTTGTCCTTAATCATTTTTTTCATCTTTTTTTTTTTTTTTTTTTTTTTTTTAAAGACAGGGGCTTCTTGTGTTGTCTAGGCCAGCCTCAACCTCTCAAGTAGCTGTGATGTGTGGTGGCAGGCACCACTGTGGCTAAGCATTTAGGGTGGGCTGGGAATTGAACCTGGGCCTCCCATGCAGCCTCTGCCTGCCAAGTAGGAGCATCAACTAGCCAATCCTAGTCTTTGGAGTCACTTTCTTCCATCTTCTCAGCTCTATGAGTTACTAGCTAATTGATCCTGGTGCTTTACTGTTTGAGCTTCATTGTCCTCATCAGTGAGCTAGAGGCAGTAATAACATTTACCTCAGGGAGTTTCTCTGAGGATAAAATTAGCATTTTATGTTGTGTCTGAATGTGATTTCTACAAGTCGATATTAGAGATACAGATGTTATAATAAAGTGTTTCTTCCATTGCAGGTCTAATAGAATTTTCTGTGGGGAAGTTTAGATACTTCAAGCTCAACAGACCCTTTCCAGAGGAAGCTATTTTACGTCATATTTCCAGCAATGTGACTTTTCTTATTTTCCAAATACACTCCCAGTATCAGAATACGACAGTTTCTTTTTCTAGGGTAAGTAACAAAGAATTATTTCAGTAAAAATCTTGTTTATGTTTTTGGGTCTCATATGTAGGGATAAGCATTAGAATTGGTATATCTGTATGTTTATGACTTTTTCTTAAATTACAAAAAAATCAAGATTGAGTCTTGTCAACTTAGTTATTAAAACTGGCCAAAACGTGAGCATCCGAGGCTCTGCGGCCTTTCTTGAGTGTGGTGGCCTCAGACTTAGAGAAGGAGTGATAGAGAGCGGAGTAGAGGGGGCAGCATCTTGTGACAATTATCCCCTCTTCACAGTTAAGTTTTCCTTATGATTTTCTACCTTTTCATTTTCTTACTTTAGTGGGTTCTTAATTTTTTTTAATCGCCAGAGGGTAGGTACACTTGCTAGAAAGAGAGAGAGAAAGAAAGCACCCCCCAGTGGGTGTGGTCACACCACAATCCTTTTTCCTCTTTTCCATCAGGATTTTTGACATACATGCACACATGCCCAGTGGTATTTTTTAAGCCATCAGGGCCAACATTGAAACCATAGTCAGCCATGTGGGATCTGGCTTCTTCACTGTGTTATAGGCTGACCTTGTCCTTAATCATTGGGAACAGATTTTATTTATTTATTTATTTATTTATTTATATATGTGTGTGTATACATATATATGTACATATACACACACAGATTTATTATTTAATTTTATTTATCATCATTATTATTTAGTTTGCTACAGGGCACACATACCAGAGTGAGACAGAGAGAGTGAGAGAGAGAAAGCAAGTTGCCATGTCTAGGACTTGAACCATGCTTGGCTGTGTGGGACTCCAGAATCTTAACCATCATACCACTTGCTGGCCCCCTGATAATATATTTTTATGGGCTTCTGTTGTTGTTTAGCTTTTTAGTATTGAAACTTACTAAGAATCCTACAAGATCAACTTTATTCTTTGGAATCTCGTGCAGACAAAAATGATACCACTTAGTATATCCAGCCCCGTGCTATGCTTCCTATAGTTTCTGTTGTAGTTGTTAGGTTTTTGCCCTAGGGCATGTATGCTTGCTGGAGAGAGAGTGAGAAATCACCCCCCAGAGGTGATGGCCACCTGCAATCCCTTCTCCTCTCAGGATTTTGGGCATACACATACACATGGTTGGTGTGATTTTTATGCTGCTGGGTCCAGCATTTAAACCTTTGTCAGCCATGTTGGAGTCTAACACCTTAATCACCATGCCATCTGCTGGCCCACACTCTCAGTAATTTTAAGGACTGTGTTATGATATTATCACTAAACTCCTAATATTTTTTTTGAGAGATTTTTGCTATAGGGTACATGCACTTGCCAGAGAGATAGAGACAGAGAGACAGAAAGCAAGAAATCACACTTCCTTCAGGGTGTTGTTCATGCCACAGTCCCTTCTCCTCTGTTCTCCTCTTGGGATTTTGGGCATGCATACACACTTGCCCGACATGAGATTTTTTTAAGGCGCTGGGTCTGGGACTCAAACTGCAGTCAACTACTGTGGGAGTCCAGCGACTTAACCATTATGCCATCTGTTGGTCCTGAGACCCCTTAATCTTAACTTTTGCTTTGCGAAGTTTTTTAAGTTACCAAGAATCTGCCATTTATGGTAAACTCTACACATCTACTTATGTTTCACTTACTTGACTCCTTAGACTAATAAATGAATTTCACCTTCCATGAAATTATACTTCTTTTAAAAATAAAAAAGAAATATTAAAGGAAAAGTAGGCGAAAGTGCTCTTGCTTAGGTCTCTTTGGTCTTAGCCACAGAGGCGGATGACGAACGTCATCGTTTGGGAAGTGTCACGATAAGACGCACAGTTGTGCCACCCCTGTGATTGTAAGGCCTACCGCCTTCAGAAGTCGAGCTGTGGCAAATGCAGCTATGCTGCCGAGTGCAAGAGAAGGTGTAACTGGAGGGCCAAGGCTAAAAGAAATACTGCTGGGACTGGTCGAATGAGGCATCTAAAAAGTGTATATCGCAGATTCAGGCATGGATTCTGTGAAGGAACAACACCCAAACCCAAGAGGGCAGATGTTGCAACATCTAGTACATCTTAGGATTTCTGTGATTAGTCAGGCAATAAATGTTCTGGTTAAAAAGAAAGAAAAAATATTATTTGAATATAGTTAATACATTTTGGATCCTTGCTACTTTTGTTCCTTTAATACACTCTTGAAAGTATACTATTAACTATCCCTTTCTGCATAACCAGATCAGGGATATAACTGGACAGATTTACTCACTTGCTGGTGTATGAGAATTATCCCAAAGTTGCCTCATGCCTTGATATTTATTTAGCCTTCCTCTGTGGGTCGTAGGCTCACATTCTGGGATTTCTTTCAAAGGAGCCAGAAGTGGCTGAGGAAGCAGGTTTTATCATGCTACGTCATTCACGGAGCTTTTCCTTCTCTTCCTTGAGAGGCCGTTTTTTCTTAGTATCCCTGAGGCAGGGACCCAAGTGACAGTTCTGTTACTGAGACTTAGAGGAAAGAGGCCATGAGAGAAATTTGCTGCACCAGGGCGTATATCCAGTGGGTTTGATCAGATTTGACCTGTCAGGGAGCACTGCTTCAAATCTGTCCATTCTTTAGAAACAGAAGGGGACATCAGCATCTCTGCATTCTAACAAACCTTGAATTAAACCTTAGGATGTATGTTCTCTGTTTTCTTCCTTGCTGATTCTTGAACAGTGAACCAAAAGTGAGTCACGTCTTTTAATGAAGAGATGAGAAAGATGAGATGTATATAAAGGCCTGTGAAAATTAAATGGAATATCTTATGAGTTAAACAAAACCAAAAAAGAAATTGCACTTTTTATTTAAGTCCATCTTCATTTTAAGGTTCTAGAAGTTGGCAAACAAAGCTGTCTTAACCCAGGTCATATATAATTTTATACTCATTGATTATATTACCTTTTCTAGTAAGTATTTTGTATTTTTATTCTTGCCTTCCTATTACTACTACAAAGCTTTTGAAATTGTGCATGTACACGTATGCATGTGTATGTCTGCAGAGGCGTTGGAGGAGTGGAGGGAGATAGTTAATGGACTAGAAGTAGGAGAGTCGGACCTAGAAAAGAGAGGAAGGAGTAAGTTGTGTTAATTATGACACGTAACAGTGTCTATTACCCATATATTGATTTTGCCTTAGTTCTTTGCACCAGAACAGAAAGTTAAACTTACTGGGACCAGCAGATGGCAGAGTGATTATGTTGTTGGACTCCCACATGGCCTTCAGCGATTTGAGTCCCAGACCCGCTGGCTTCAAACTCATGCCAGACACATGTGCATGCGTGCTCAAGATCCTGGGAGGAGAACAGAGGGGAAGAGATTGCAGTGCAGGGTGTGTGTGTGTGATTTCTCGCTTTCTGTCTGCCCTTGTGTCTCTGTTTCTCTGGTGAGCGCATGCGCCCTGTGGCAAACATCTCTCCCAAGTCAGGGGAAAAAAGTTAAGCTTGTTAGGTTTCATAACTTTCTTAGAAAGGAAGAAGCATGCCAGTTCCTCAGGGGAGGCCAGATTTTTTTCTGGTAGTAAAGTCAGAAGAAAACATCCTATTCAGGCCCTCAGTTAAGAGACATAGTGAAATGATACATGGATGATTTCCTTCTTCTTCTTTTTTTTTTAAAGCTGGCTCTACTTTTTTTTAAGTTTTAATAAATAATATGATTTTTTAAAAAAAAGTTTTCATTCTTTCTTTCTGTGAACCAGGGAGAAAGAGATAGACAGTTGGGGAGACAGACACCCCAAGCAGCGTTTTTATGCTTCTAGCTGCATTCCAGTCTGGATGGTGGGCTTGAGCATGCCCTGTGTGTTTACGGAGGTCTCTGGATGTGAATCCAGAACATTCCCATGTTGGTCAGCCTTGCAGAGCATCGTAGTACCGCTGTGTCCTCGTCCCCCAACACACACACACCCGCCCCAAGATGATGCTCATCTTAGTACATCACAGCAAAGACATTTGAAGGAAAAGAGAGAATGGGGAAGAAAGACATTTATACATATTAAATGCCTCTTATGTGCTAGGACAGTGGTTCTCAAGTTCCTGGGGCCATCAAGTAATAGACTCTCTCCCAGGCAAAATAGATCATTTCAGGGCTGTGTGTGTGCATGTGTATGTTTGCATGTAGTTTCTTGGGGACCTCTAGGATCTTAACGCCACTCTCAGGCTTCTAGTTAGGAACCTTGTTTTTGGTTTCTCTATAGTTAATTCTCACAAGAGCTCAGCAAAATGGTTGTAATGCCGGCTTCCATGTTTGAGGAAGCAGAGCTTGGATAAAGGGAGCCAACAGAATGAGTGACAAAAGTTGTTTGGCTGAATAGCATTTTGGTTGTCCTTAGGTGTTTTTTTTTTTTTTTTTTTTTAATTTTCTATGGGGCACAGGTGATCATCAGGGAGAGCGAGAGAAAGTGAGAAAGCATCCCCATGAGAGATGGTCACACCTCAGTCTCTCTTCCATTTCTTCCACCTTTTGGGATTTGAGGAATGTATGCACACATACCTGGCATGGTTTTCAGGCTGCTTGATCCAGAGTAGGTCCACACAGTTGGCCACATGGGATCCAGCTGCCCTCACTACCACACCACCGCCTGGGCCAGTTGTCCTTAGTTATATTACTGTAGCTTTCATTTCTTGGGTTGCCTTTGGTTCTCACTGCTGCTACCACTTAGAATCACGACCACTGGGCCAGTAGATGGTGTAGTAGTTATGTCACTGGACTCCCTATGGCTACCACAGTTTGAGTCCCATACCCAGTGGCTTGAAACTCAATGCCAGGCATGTGTTAATGTGTGCCCAAGATCTCGGGATGAGAATGAAGTAAAAGAGATTGCAGCATGACCACCCCACCTAGGGGATGATTTCTCACTTTCCTTCTCTCTCTCTCTCTCTCTCTCTTTCTCTCTGGAAAGTGCACATACCCTGAGGCAAAAAAAAAAAAAAAAACCACCGCAGGCAAAAAAAAAAAAAAAAAAAAAAAAAAAAAAACCTTAGAAAGGGGCTGGTAGATAACATGGTGGTTAAGGTGTTGGACTCCCACATGGCTGACTGCAGTTCGATTCCTGGACTTTTTTTTTCTTTTTCTCAGTCTCCTTCTCTCTCTCTCTCTCTGGCTCTCTCTAGTCAAATTGAATCACAATAAATAGAATAAAATAAATAAATATTGGGAACCAGCAGTTAGCATAATGGCTATGTCGCTGGACTCCCACGTAGTCGACCGTGGTTCACGTCCCGGACCCGGTGGCTTAAAACTCACGCTGGGCGCGTGTGCATGCGTGTCCAAGATCCCGAGAGGAGAATGGAAGAGAAGGGATTGCGGCGTGACCATTCCCCCTGGGGGGTGATTTCTCACTTTCTGTCTCTCTGTCTCTCTCTTGTCTATCTGGCGAGCGCACGCGCCCTATAGTGAAAACCTCTCAAAAAAATAAAAAAGAAAAAAAGAAAAGAAATCGTGACCAGAACTGCACTCAGCTCTGAAAGTGAGTGGTTTGTGTGAAGAGTGTTGTTTCCTCTGCCCTTCCTGAAGAAGCGTGATGCTTGGGCATTTGTGGGTCATCACAGCATTTGGTGTTTGATCTTGACCCTGGAGTTAATGTTGGAGCCATCCTCCCTTATGCTTGTCAGATCGAAACCAATTTGGCGCTATTTTATTCCCATTTCCTTAGCTTTAAGAGAACATCCTAAATTTGTCATTTCTTAAATCCTATATCTTAGCATTTTATTATTCAAAAAAGTTTCTGAGCAGGTTGGAGGATGGTAGAGGGGGAGGGTATGAAGGAGGATTACAAGGGCACAGGGAGACTGCGGGGTGACCCATCTGTGCACTGTCTTAATTGTGGTGATGGTTTCACAGGTGTCTACATATGTCAAACATTCCAAATGGTATTCTTTATGTGCAGTTTATAACGTAGCAATTATAACTCAGTTTTAAAAGCTTTCGAAACCTGAACTCCTTGGGGACAGAACTCCTTTCTGTCTTACTATATGTCTCAGTACTTGACATAGTAAATATATATATATTTTTTGAGAGGTGTTTGCTATAGGGTGCGTGCACTTGCCATAAAGACAGAGACAGACAGAAAGTGAGAAATCACCCCCAAGGGGGGATGGCCACACCGCAATCCCCTTTCCCCCATTCTCCTCTTGGGATCGGGTACACACGCACATGTACCTGGCTTGAATTTAAGCCACCAGGTTCAGGACTTGAACTGTGGTCGACTACATGGGAGTCCAGCGACATAGTCATTACACCAACTACTGATCTTGACATAGTAAATCTTAATTCAGGTGAATTAAATAGCTTGTTTCCCTGAGCATCTGCTGTTCCTGATCAAAGATCATTTTTATAGGCCAAATGTTTGTTTTTATAGGCCGAATGTTTGTGTCTTCCCCAAATTTATATATTGAAATCCTAATTCCAATAAATTGATATTAGGAAGTGTGACCTTTGGGTCTGGGAAGTGATGGGTCATCAGAAAAGGCATAAAGTATTTTTTCTATTTTTCTTTTTCAAAAAACTATTTAGAGGTTTTTGCTTTAGGGAGCATGTGCTTGCTGTGAGGAGGGCGGGAGGAAGAAAGGGAGTGAGGGAGACAGACAGTAAGAGGAAAAGTGAGAAATCATCCCCCAGAGGGATGGCCATGCTGTAATCCCTTCTCCTCCTTTCTCCTGGGATCTTACGGAGACATGCACCTGGCGTGAGTTTTAAGCCATGGAGTCCGAGATTCAAACCATGGTCAGCCATTTGGGAGTCCAGCACTGTGACGGCTACACCATCTAATGTCCCCTTTTTTCTCTGTTTTTCTGTGCAGAAATGCATCATGACTTTTCTGATGACCCTATAGATTTTGAGGGAGTGGATTAATGCCCTGTACAGGAGGCCCTGGAGAGCTCTCCATCCTTCTGTCATGTGAGAATCAGCCAGAAGTAGGCAATCCACAGCCCAGAGAAGGGGCCTCATCAGAACTTGACCATGCTGTCACTCTGATACCAGGCTTCCAACCTCAGAACCCTGACATTAGGTTTCCATTGTTTATAAACCACATAATCTATAGTACTTCATTACAGCAGCCTGAACTGACCTAGGCGGTTCATATGCTTTAGGGTTCCTCTTGCGTGTGTATGTATGGGCCTGTGATCCTAAAGATAAAATAATTTAATGATTTTCATCTTAATTATTTGTTCATATTCATATTTTTAAAATAATTATTTAACTTTATTTAATTTGACCAGAGAGAGAGAGAAAGTGAGAAAGCAAGCCACCAGGTCCGGGACTCGAACTATGGCCAGCCATATGGGATTTCAGTGCCCCTAACCACCATGCCCCCTTTTGGCCCCTTCATATTCATTATTTTTTTTTTTTTTTTGAGAGGTTTTCTCTATAGGGCGCGTGCGCTTGCCAGACAGACAGAGACAGACATAGAGACAGAAAGCGAAAAATCACCCACCCGGGGAGATGGTCACGCCGCAATCCCTTCTCCTCCATTCTCCTCTCGGGATCTTGGGCACGCACGCACACGCGCCCGGCATGAGTTCTAAGCCACCGGGTCTGGGACGTGAACCGTGGTCGACTACGTGGGAATCCAGCGACATAGCCATTACACTAACTGCTGGTTCCCCATATTCATTATTTAAAGTAGGTCTAATTGTTTTGTTTTGGGAATATTTGGAATGGGACATGTGTACTGCATCAGCTCTGGAATTGATGTGTTGTCCTCAACTCTGTTGATGATGACTTTTCTTCTAATTGCAGACTCTCCTTCCCAATAGCTCAGGAACAGGCACTGATAAAGGCCTGGTTTTCCTTCTTAGACCGGAGCAGAGTATGTGTACTTGGTACTTGGAGACTTCAGATGCGGAGCCTGTCCAAAATGTGGCCATTCCACTCTCCTACTCTGAAACAGGTGACCTTTCTGTCTTTGACACTCTGTTATTCTCTGGTATATGGAACATGTTTATAAAAATTTAAGGAAAATTATAATCCTTATTAAGATTGTTACAAGTACAATTTATTTCATCAGAAATGGTTTAAAAGCAAGAGAGTTTGAAGGTTAGTGTAATAACTAAGAGTTCAGGTAGTGACTATGAGAATATTCTTATTCATGGAAGAAATGTTTAAGGAGCAGTAATGGAAAGGGAAGATACAGTCCTTTTATAGTTTAGTTGGCTATTCTAGGCAGAGGAAGCAGTAAGCGTAATGTCAGGAAGAATGGAATATTTGGAGAATAGCTTATAGTGGGTATGGCAAGGCTTTGGAGGGCCTTATATCCATTCTGAGATTATACTCCACTTTGAGGCAGGTTCTAAGGAAGCAGAGAGTTTGCTTGTTTGTTTTTTAGTTTCCTGTAGGGCATGGGCTTGACAGAGAGAGCGGGGGGGAGGGAAAGTGAGAAATCACTCCTAAGGGAAGGTCACCACACCACAATCCCTTCTCCTCCATTCTCCTTTTGGGATTTTGGGCATGCATGCACACACACCTGGAGTGATTTTCAAGCTACCAGGCCCGGGACTCAAACCATGCAGTTGACCATGTGGGATTCAGCCACCTTAACCTCTATGCCACCCGCTGGCCCATGAAGAGTAGAGTTTTTAAGCAGAGGAATGCATTTCATTTCTTAGAAAGCTGTCGTCCGAAGCAGTGTAGGGGGTGGGTTGGAGAAGGCCTGGCAGAGTCAGAACTCGACATACTTGAGGGCTCAACATGAGAAGTGAGAATCTGAACTGAGGCTGCAAGAGGGAAATGGAGAAGAGTGGCTGATTTGAGATACGGGAAGAAGAGGTGATAAGACTCCGTGACCAGTGGCTGTGGGTTATAAGAAGGGAGCATAGGTTTTCTATTTTGACAGTCAGGAGATCGTGTTACAAAATAGGCATAGGAACAGTTGTTGGGCTGCTGGATGTTTTTTGTGGGGGCAGGATAATAGATGGTGATTCTAGTTTGGAACATAATCTGAGATGCTTGTAGGATATGGAAATGAATAGTAAGACAGTTTAAAATAAGCATCTGGGGTAGAAGGATGAGGTTAGATATTCAGTTAAATAATAGCTGTTAGTAAAAGCCATAGCAGTAAGATTGCCCAAGCAAACACTTAGAGATTTGGGGGGGAGGGGGTGTGGCTCAGGTGGCATGGTGGTAAAGGCTCTGGATCCTATAGAACTGACTCCACAGTTCGAGTCCCAGATCTGATGACTTGAAAAACATGCTGGGTGCTTCTGTGTCATGCATTCCTAAAATCCCTAGAGGAGAATGGAGGAGAAGGGATTGCAGTGTGGCCATCCCTTTGGGGGATGCTTTCTCAATTTCCTTCTCTCTGTCTCTCTCTGCCAAGTACCCTAGAATAAAAATAAAAAGATAGATAGATAGATAGATAGATAGATAGATAGATAGATAGATAGATAGATTTAGGAGGAAAACACTAGCACATACCTGAATTATGCCAGGCACTGTTTCCGCCAACTGCTGAGAAGTAAGCATAAGTCTGAGGAGTAGTCAGGGAAGTAGGAAGAGAGCCTGGAGTTCTGCCTTCCATGAGGAGCTGGAAGTAGCACATTGCAGAGAGGCTAAGAGATTGACTGAAAGTAATCATGTGATGGCGTAGTTAAGAGCTAGTCATGGCTGCTGATAAGAGTCTTTTTAGTAGCACACGGAGGTGGGAACTAATAATAGATTACAGTGATTGAGGAGTGAAGGTGAGGCGAGGAAATCTAGACTTTTCTTGAGGTTTTAGGGTAAAGAGAAGGGGAAAAAGCAATAGTTAATCAAGGAGGTAGAATCTGAAAGAAAGATGACTGGAGTTGAGGAAAGAAAACGTTATCTGTAATGAAAAGTGAAAGAGTAAAATCTGATAAAACACAGACTTCAAGCTTCCATGAAGGACGATGTGCGGGACCAGCAGTTAGCGCAATGGCTGTGTCGCTAGACTCCCATGTAGTCGACCGCGGTTCATGTCTCGGACCCGGTGGCTTAAACTCACGCCGGGCGCGTGTGCGTGTGTGCCCAAGATCCCGAGAGGAGAACGGAGGAGAAGGGATTGTGGTGTGACCATCCCCCCTGGGGGGTGATTTCTCGCTTTCTATCTCTCTGTCTCTCTCTGTCTGTCTGGCAAGCGCACATGCCCTATAGGAAAAAAAAAAAAAAAGATGATGTGCAAAGATAAGTTACAAATAGTGGCCCTTCAACTGGAATATGTATCATTTTCAATATGTATCATTTTCTTGGATATGGTAGATATGCAGGAAAAGGAGGGGATGTAAGAAGAACACACGTTTTTATGTATTATTTTGTATTTTTTTAATTGAAAGGAGGCATATACACACACTAGAGAGAGAGAGAAACAGAGATAGAAGGCACCCCACAATGGGGTATGGTTATACCACATCCTTTTTCCTCTGTTACTCGTTCCTGTCAAGATTTTGGGCATGCATGCACATGTGCCTAGTGTCGTTTTTGATCTACTGGGTTCAAGATTCAAACTACATTCAGCCACGTGGGATCTGGCTCCATTGTATAGCACTTAACTGCTGTGCTACTGGGCTGGTCCGAGGAGAGCACAGAAGTTGGACGAAGCACATACGCTCACTGCATGTCTCCCTGTCAGCTGTCAGATCTGGCTGAGGGAGATCAGCTACCAGAATTCTAGCAGTTGGGGGAAACAGACTGGTTGTGAGGATGATTGGCTGAGCATAAGAACTTGTGATCTGCATATTTGCATTGGTTTTCCTAGTCTGGCCTAGCTCAGCTTCCCCACTTGAGGACCCCATACACAGGTCTTCATGTGAAGCTGAGCCAGTGTTGTGACTTGATTGGGTTTTGTCATGCTAAAGGTCACAGATAGGATTAATAATAAGTAAAGAAGAGCTGTTTTAGCACATTTTTAATGTAAATTAAATAGTTGAAGTTATTTTGTATTTAATCAAATATCCAAAATGCTATTCCTGTAAGTGGTCTTGGGGGTCTTTTATTTTTTACTCTTTCTTTTTCTTAAGAGAGATTTTTGGGAACCAGCAGTTAGCGTAATGGCTATGTCGCTGGACTCCCACGTAGTCGACCATGGTTCGCGTCCCGGACCCGGTGGCTTAAAACTGACGCCGGGCACGTGTGCATATGTGCCCAAGATCCCGAGAGGAGAATGGAGGAGAAGGGATTGTGGCGTGACCATCCCCCCGGGGGGTGATTTCTTGCTTTCTGTCTCTATGTCTCTGTCTGTCTGTCTGGCGAGCGCACGCGCCCTATAGCAAAAAACTTCTCCAAAAAAAAAAAGAGAGATTTTTGCTATAGGGCACATGTGCTTGTCAGAGAGACATAAAGCAAGAAATCACTCCCTATGGGGAATTGGCCATGCCACAATCCCCTTTCCTCCATTCTTCTCTTGAAATTTTAAGCACTCACGCACACATGCCTGGTGTGAGTTCTAAGCTTCAGGGTCTGGGACTCAAACTGTGGTTGGCCATATAGGAGTCCAACAACGTAACCATTATGCCATATGCTGGTCCCATTTTTGCCCTTTATGTATTAAAAAACCATTCTAGATGGTGATACCATCTTTCTCTTTGTTGAGAGGCAGTTGAAAAATGGATGTTTCTTTCCCTTTTACCCATGGAGTTCCTTTTCTCTTTGGTAGTTTTTTTTTGTTTATTTCTCTATCCACAGGAATTTAAACTCTTTGGGGGTCACAGACCTTAAAAATGAACATTTCAGGACCAGCAGTTGGCATAACGGCTGTGTCGCTGGACTCCCATGTAGTTGACCGTGGTTCGAGTCCCAGACTCGGTGGCTTCAACTCACACCAGGCGCGTGGGCGTGCCGGGCCAAGATCCTGAGAGAGAATGGAAGAGAAGGGATTGCGGTGTGGCCATCCCGCCGGGGAGTGATTTCTCGCCTTCTGTCTCCCTGTCTCTCTCTGTTTTTCTGACGAGTGCCCGCGCCCCATAGCAAAAACCTCTCAAAAAGGAAAAAAGAAAATTTTGGGGGCTAACAGGTGGTGCAGTAGTTAAGGTACTGGATTCCCACATGGTTGACCACAGTTCAAGTCCCAGACCTGGCAGCTTGAAACTTACACTGGGTACCTGTGGGTGTGCCCAAAATCCCAAGAGAAGAATGGAGAGAAGATATTGTGGCATTGTCATTCCCCTGGGGAGTGATCGCTTGCTTTCTGTTTGGCTCTCTGGCCAGCAGATGTGCCCTATAGCAAAAATATCTAAAAATAAAAAACGAAGAAAATAAAAGAAAATTTCTCTCTCTAGGAAATGCGTAAGTTTAACATTTGGCATATAATTTCATGGTGTTCATGAAGCCCCTAAAACCTATTCTTGGGCTCCTGCTTAAGAATCTGTCTCTCCTGACCTTTTTAATTAGAGTAGAGATGGGCAAACTGTAGATCATGAGCCAGTCCAGCTTGCTGCCTATTTCTGTATCTAAAATTTTATTTATTGTGTATTAAGTTTCTTTCTTGGGATCAGCAGTTGGCATAATGGTTACATCACTGGACTTCTGCTTAGTTGACCGTGGTTTGAGTCCCAGTCCCAGCAGCTTAAAATAACGGCAGGCCTGTGTGCATGCTCGGCCAAAATTCCGAGAGGAGAACGGAGGAGAAGGGGTCGAGGCATGGCCATCCCTCCCCCCACCCCGGGAGGGGGGTGATTTCTCACTCTCTGTCTCTCTGGTGAGTGCACGTGCCCTATAGTAAAAATCTCTCCCTAAAACAAACAAATTTCTCTCTTTCATGGGAGGACAGGGTGAAAGAGAAAGACAGGCACCTTTAACAGGGTCTCACACTGCATTCCTTCCCCACAGCCTTTTCCAGCCAGCCAGAATGGGGTGGCTCTCAATAGTTCTCTGTAATAAAATTGAATCATTTAATTGTGGAGTTTTTGTAATTTAAGCCTCATTACTAATAATTGAACCGCCATTGTGTGTGCTCTGGTGTGTTCAGGAGGCAAATCCTCTTCTCCTCCATGGCTTCCATCCCAGTGCAGAGCATTGTGCTACTGCAGCTGGGCCTATAAAGTTTTATTGAAACATATTACGCTCGTTCATTTATATGTCGTTCATGACTGCTTCTGTGTCAAAGGACACAGCTGAATCGTTGCCGTATAGAGCAACAGATCCACAAAGCCCAAAATACCATCTGGGCCTTTACAGAGTTTGCTGTCCCCTTTTCTGGGATCTTTAACCTGATGTAGCTTTTTCAATTGCCATAGTATGTGTGAACTTACCAGAGAGAGACAGGGCAGGAGGCGGGTGGTGAGGAGAAAACATCCACCAATGGGGTGTGGTCACCCTGCAATCCCTCTTTCATCCTGTTGGGATTTTGGGCATGCACATACAAACACAAACACGCATTTTACATTCTTTCTTTCTTTTTTGAGAGATTTTTGCTATGGGGCACATGTGCTCGCCAGAGAGACAGAGAGAAAGAAAGGGAAAAATCACTCCCTGGGAGGATGGCCATGCTGCAGTCCCTACTCTTCTGTTCTTAGGATTCTGGGCATACACACACACACATGCCTGGTGTGAGTTCCAAGTCTCTGGACCTGTGACTTGAATTGCAGGCAGCCATGTGAAAGTCCAGTGACCCAACCACCATACCTCCTGCAGCCCACCCTGTGTGTTTTTCAAGCCACTGGGGCTGGGATTCAAACTGTGGTAAGCCACATGGGATCCTGCTGCTTTATACTTTAGGCTACAGGGTTGGACACAACCTCAGTTAACTTTATCCTCTATAACCTCAATTCATTAGCTTATATAAAACTGGAAGCTCTGTGTTTATGTTTAGTTTCTATATGGGAAGTTCTTGTAAGAGTAGAGTTCTGTTTTCCGAGATGATTTGGTATATAAAAATTCTTTGTTTAGTAACTCCTCTATTTTTCATCCAGATCCTATCCCTGGAGGCTGTAACTTGGAGTTTGATTTAGATAATGATCCTAACATTTACTTGGAGTTTAATTTCTTTGCAACAACTATCAAATTTGCCCCAGCAAACCTAGGCTTTGCAAGGTATGTCTATCTGCCATCTCCTAAAACTGTTTACAGAACATGTATGACTAACTGTTGTGTAGATTCAGCAAATTCTCAAGCTCATAGTTCTCTGTACTGCAATTGAATTATTTAATTACTTAAGAAAGCCTCATTACTAATCATTGAGCTGTCATTTATAGTTGATATTTTCCCTTTCCATTACCATCAACTCTTTTTAAGAACCAGATGTCAGGGCCAGCAGGTGAAGGACGAAGAGCAGTGAGAAAACAAGCTGCCAAGTCTAGGACTTAAACCATGGTTGGCCATGTGGGAGTTCAGTGCCTTAATCACCATATCACCTGCTGGCCCGAAATTTTTTTTTTTAATTTGTATATTTCTTTCATGGGAGTGAGGGGCAGAGAGATAAGGAGAGAGAGATAAGCACCCCAACAGGGATTCATGCTGTGATCTCCCTCCCACAGCCTTCCTGGCCAGCTAGGACTGTGGGCACACTTGCCAGACGTGTACAGTTGACTGGGGAACTGAACCTGTGATCTTCTATATTGATCCAGCCTTGCTTGAGCAGTGTATTATTGCTGTGCCTCAAGCTGGCCCATATCTTAGTTTTTATGAAGTATGTTAAATATAGAAAGCACTCCGTAGTCCTGAAATATTCTTATATTTTCATAAGGATTTCATTATTTTTATTCAAACTACCTCAGTTTCTGCTTTAGTAGCTAACATTTGAGTAACATTTGAATGCTCCTTGTGCTTCAGCTATAACGCTGAGTGCTATATACATATATATACATATATATATTTGTCATTTAATCCGAAAAGTTGTATGAAGAAGGGCATTGTTTTTTTTGTTTTTAAATTGTCAGAGGGTACGTGCACTCCCCTAGGAGATAAAGAGTATGAGAAAGCACTCCCTAGTGACATACGGTCATGTCAAAATCCCTTTTCCTCCATTTCTCTATTTTCTTGGCATTTTGGGCATACCCGCACATGAACATGGTATGCTTTTCAAGCCACCAGGGCTAGGGTTTGAACTGTGGTAGGCCATGTGGAATCCAGCTCCCTTAATCACTAGGATATGGCACAGCCCTAATTGCTCTTCTCTTATAGAGAGGTCTTTTAGTCTTGTTCAGGCTGAGTGACTTGCCCACATGCACATAGCTGACAAATGGTGAAGTAGACTGACATTAGAATCTGACAATTTAACCATACTTGACTGTCAGTGTGTCTTAGTTCATGCTTCTATAACAAAATACCATAGATGACTGATAAACAACAGCTATGTATTTCTCACAGTTCTGGAGGCTGGAAGTCCATATCAAGGTGTCCACACAGTCAGGGTCTGGTCAGGGCCTTCTTCCATGTTGCAGATTGCCAGCTTCTCATTGTGTCCTTACCTGACAGAGAAAAGGCTAGAGAGCTTTCTGGGGTCTCTTTTATTATTTTATTTTATTTTTTAAAGATTTATTTAATTTGATTTATTATTATTATTCTTTAATTTGATCAGAGAGAGACAGAGAGAGGGGAAGTGAGAAAGCAAATGGTCAGGTCTGGGACTTGAACTGCAGATGACCATGTGGAAGTCCAGTACCTTAACTACTATGCCACCTGTTGGCCCCTCTGGGGTCTTTTATTTTGTTTAACTCCCTTCCTTCCTTCCTTTCTTCCTTCCTTCCTTCCTTCCTTCCACATACATACATACATACATACGTACGTACCAGAGATAGAGCAAGAGATAGAAAGGGAGAAAGGAAGCCACCAGGTCTGAGACTCAAACCACAGTTGGCCCTGTGGGAGGCCAGAGCCCTTGACCACCTCGCCACCTCACCACCTGCTGGCCCCTGGGGTTTCTTTGATAAGGACATTGATCCCATTCCTGGGAATATCCATTCACCTCCTCCCAAAGACCCCCACATCCTAATACTACCTAAGCTCTGGGCTTCATGAGAGTTTTGCTATCTCCCCGTCCTCTCCTCTGCCTGGCCTCTTACCTCCCAAGGGCCCTACTTCCTAAGACTACCACATTGGGGGTTAGATTTTTAACGTACAAATTTTGGAGGACACAGCATTCAATCCATAATGGTGTGTTACTTACTTTTCTTTAGAATACCAATTATTTCCCCTGCAAAATGTGAACTGTTGTTTTAGTGCATTTTTCTCTTACTCTCAACTGAATACCACACTGGGTAACTTACAAAGAATAAATATTTAATTAGTTCACAGTACCAGAGGTCCAAGGTCAGGAGTCTGCATCTGGTGAGGGTCTTCTTGTTGGCAGGGACTCTGCAGAATCCTAAGGCCACTCAGGGCATCACATCGCAAGAGATTGCATATGTCTGTCGGTCTTATTCCCCCTCCTTATTAATCTTCACCACCCTGATGATCTTCATCCTGATTACCTCTCAAAGGCCTCACCTTTAATTCCAAAGTCAAATTAAGTTTCCACCTTTTTTTTTTTTTTAAGAGAGATTTTTGCTATAGGGCACATGTGCTTGCCAGAGAAACAGAAAGCGAGAAACTGCCCCCCAGGGGACATGGCTATGCTGCAGTCCTTTATCCTCTATTCTTCCCTTGGGATTTTGGGCATGCATAAGTTTTTTTACGTCACTAAGTCCAGGACTTGTACCATGGTTTACTTCGTGGGAGTCCAGTGACATCCCCATTACACCATCTGCTGGTCCCAAGTTTCCACCTTCTTAATACCTTTACAATACAACCAAATTTAATGCATGAATTCTGGGCACACATTCAAACCATAGAATTGTTGTAGAAGATTGGGATTCAGTGTTTTGATTCCATTTTATAGATGAGGCTTGCAGCATTAGAGACTGATGTTGGGTTTTGTTGGTTGACTTTAGAGGTGCAGATCCTCCACCGTGTGATGTTGGGATGGGCCGGGACTCCAGGTGGAGGTTGCAGTATGAAGTCTACCAGTATTTTCTGCCTGAGAACGATCTCACTGAAGAGGTGTTGCTAAAACATGTGCAGAGGATGGCCACAGTGCCTGACGTGAAGGCCAATGCCGCCAAGGTAAACCCAGGTCTCTCTATTTGTGTGGCTAGATTATGATGTCTTTGTAAGAGTTGAGGAGGGGAAAAGGTACCATGAGTTTATTTCTTAGTATTTTGATCATCAGTTTATTCTTTTATTTTGTTATGAGGTGCCTTTGTTCATGATATCTCAGAATAAGGAGATGCATATTAGTTATGTTTAGTTTTAGTTATATCCACATCTGTGACCTGGTAATCTTGAGATATGGGTGGAACTGGTGGTAATTTTCTGCAGACTCCCATACGAGTTAGATGAGAAACTACTTAAGGATATATACATTGGCATTAATACTTGAACCCAAATTCAAAGCCTGTAATTTGGAGCAAAAATGTTCAGTCATTATGTAGAAAGAAGTGATTGAAGTAGGCTATATATGATTAGCCTGGGGGCAGAGTCTTTTGCAGGGCAAGATCTTACTTGTGACTGTGTCATCTGGGATGTCATCCCGCATTCTGAGAAATCTTAATGCAGGCAAACTCATTATATGCTCGTTCACAAATTTAAAAACTGTTGGTAAAGTTTATTAGTTGCCTTTAGGTAAGATATAATTTTTTTTTTTTTTAAGGTTTTTGCTATAGGGTGTTTTCGCTTGCCAGGAAGACAGAGATAGACAGAGAGACAGAAAGCAAGAAATCACCCCCTAGGGGGGATGGCCAAGCTGCAATCCCTTCTCCTTTCTCCTCTCGGGATCTTGGACACACATGCACATGCACCCGGTGTGAGTTTAAGCCACCAGGTCCAGGACTTGAACTGCATGGGAGTCCAGCGACACAGGCATTATGCTAACTGCTGGTCCCCCTAATTTTTATTTTCATAAAGAGTATAAGAACTTGTAAAATAGGTCCTTTTTACATTACTTTTCTTTTTCTTTCTTTTTTTTTTTTTTTAAGAGAGATGTTTTTGCTATAGGGTGCATGCACTCACCAGAGAGACACAGAGAGACAAAAAGGAAAAGAGAAAAATCACCCCCCAGGGAATGGTCATGCTGCAATCTCTGCCTCCATTCTCTCCTTCCGAGTTTGGGTATGCCTGCACAGGTGCCCAGAGTTAGTTTTAAGCTACTGGGTCTGGGACTCAAATTGTGGTCGACTACATGGGAGTCCAGTGACGTAACTGTTAAATCTGCTGGTCCCTGCTTTTTGTTTGTTTGTTTGTTAAAGAGAGATTTTTGCTGTAGGATGCATGTGCTCACTAGAGAGACAGGAAGGGAGAAATCACCTTATTGGGGGGGGGGGAAGGCCAGGCTGCCATCCCTTCTCCTCCCTTCTCCTCCCACCTACAGAATCAGACAGTATTTAAAAAAGATTCACACAACAATTCACAGGCCCAATGAGTTTGTTTTAGGACATGCGCACTGAGATATTTAAAAGTGAAATGTATCTGTAACTTACTTT